TCAACTTTTTTTCACTTAATATATCTTGAGAACTTTCACAAGTCATTAAAAGTTTATTAGAAATATTACTTTTAATTTCTTGGTGTTTCATCATTTGAGGATTCCATAATTTAGCTATCCCTCAGGTATAGAACATTTAAACTATTTCCATGTTTTCTCAATCATAAAAAATGCTTCCACAAATAGCCTTGGACAGAATTTGTATGCATCTCTATTTTGCTACATCATATTTCTACAAGTAGAATGGTTGAGTCAAAGAATATGAAGATGTGTGATATGCCCTGCTGTGGACCTTCATGGCTGGGCCTACCGAGCTTAGTGGCCCCAGATTTGGTGTCACAGCAGACACATGGTATGAAGTACCTGCAGACCATTCATTATGATAAAATTCCTATAGCACTGGGTGTATGTGAGTTCCTTCCCTTACTTCGTGATCTGACCTTAGGTTGCAGTGCTATCCTGGGGGAAGGGAACAGGTTACATCAAAAACCTAGAAATATGTCCTTCCTAGCAGGGTGGTAGTGATGCTGGAGTTTCTGACTGGCTTGGTTGTGTGTACACAGAGTAAGTCTCTATGGCTCCAGCCCTCCATGATCTAGCAGGACCTATTTTTGCCAATCTCATCATAATTAGGCTTCTGTTAGACTATACATTGTCCAATTTATTTGAGAAAGAGTCAAAGTTTTATCAACATGGATTTGTCATGAAAAAACAACTTTGCAGTGGGGCGCAGTGGCTCACACCTGTAACCTCAGCACTTTGGGAAGCCGAGAGAGGTGGATCACTTGAGGTCAGGAGCTTGAGACCATCCTGGTCAACATGGCGAAACCCCATCTCTACTAAAAATACAAAAAAATTAGCCGCGCGTGATGGTGCGTGCCTATAATCCCAGCTACTCGGCAGGCTGAGGCAGCAGAATCGCTTGAACCCAGGAGATGGAGATTGCAGTGAGCCCAGATTGCACCACTGCACTCCAGCCTTGGTGACAGAGTGAGTGAGACTATGTCTCAAAAAAAAAAAAAAAAAGGATAAAAAGCAACTTTGCCATTTGATGAGAATGTTGTTTATTATTTCCACACTTGGGTTATTTATGAGGTAAAGTTTTGTTCATATTGATAATTTGTATTTTTGAGAGTAGAGTATCCTGTCTATTTTTTTACTGAGGGTTTTTCTTATTGCTTTATAAGAACTAATTGCCCAAGCGCGGTGGCTCATGCCTGTAATCCCAGCACTTTGGTAGGCCAAGGCAGTCGGATCATGAGGTCAGGAGGTTGAGACCATCCTGGCTAACGGGGTGAAACCCCGTCTCTACTAAAAATACAAAAAATTAGCTGGGCATGGTGGCGGGAGCCTTTAGTCCTAGCTACCTGGGAGGCTGAGGCAGGAGAACGGTGTGAACCCAGGAGGCGGAGCTTGCAATGAGACGAGATCATGCCACTGCACTCTAGCCTGGACAGCAGTGCGAGACTCCGTTTCCAAAAAACAAAACAAAACAAAACAAAGCAAAGCAAAAAAACTAAGTATACAGATGCTTATCTTTTGTCCATCTTAAATATTGCAAGTATTTGCTCTGTTGTTTATTTGCCTATTCATTTTATTTATAATGTTTCATGGTATATAAAAATTTAAATTTCATATAACAAATTCTATTAACATTTTCCTTTGCACTTTCTGCTTTTATGCTTATAAAGGCTTTCTCTAATGATATCCAGTAAATAATCAATTATCTCTGGGTCTTATTTATTTTTTACATTTTATACTTTAATCCATTTGGATTTCATTCTGATGTATGTGTGACGCATGTATCTAACTTGATATATTTTTCCCAAAATAATTCAGCTTCTCACTTCTAGCCCCCTACTCTCCATTGCCCTTAGAGTTGCATCAAAAATGGAGATAATTCATTACAAAGGAAGAAGTTGTCAAGGAAGACCACCTCTCCTAGTGCTCACCATGCTGGAGAAGGGGTGTCTACCTTGCTTTTGTCATTCAGAGGGGCACTGAAAACACGCCACTGAGTTTTCTGAAAGAAAAGCTTGTCAGGCTGCCTGGAGTCCTCATTAATTCCAGACCATAATAGTGGTACTTATCTCCTTTATGCGGCTGACTATTATTTTTCCTGGTATAGGATGTGATTTTTTTTTCTTTTGTTTTAATTCCCATGTCACCCATGATACTCTTCAAAAGAGGTGGATGAAATTGACTTCCAGCTTCCCCTATGCCCTGGAATAGAAGCCATGCTTTCATGATAAATTGCACAGAAAAAAAAGGCAGCTGGAGTTGCTTGTACCAAAATGAGAGTGGCTTTTGGCTCTGCTTCAGTGACTTTATTTCACATTTCTTTCTGAACTCTCAGAGAAAAGTGATAATGAGAGTTTAATCTCTAGACTTGTGCCATCAGCTTTTTATTTTCCTTGGAATGTTTTAAATCCTACAGGGCCTCAATTTCAGCCACTAGACACAGCACTTTCATGGTAGCTCTTCCCTGGGGTGGAAATAATCAGAGGGTAAAAATCCTAGGTTTGCCATATTTTTCAGCTGCAATCTGGTATATTTTTATTATTTTGAAAAGTCTAGGGGCACATAAAAAAAGGCTTAGTGGGGAGTTAGATGAAGGATGGAAAGCAGCTATTCTACAATTTTACTGAAACTCAGCTACCCTTATGAGATAATATTCAATACCCTTATGGATGCTGATACTCTGATCTTTCCATTTTCCTGAATGTTCCTCTCTTCTTCGCTGTGGTGGCTTAGGATGTACATCATGGAGTATGTCATTAGACTTTATCCAAGTTGTTTGTGTGTTGATGTTGAACCCACGAGAACTGAGAATTCCTTCATTGGAATCCTTCCTGGGGTAGGTAAAGCATAGTGTGGCTAGAGGGAGTGGTGGGTTCCAATAAGAGTGCTTTTCGAACATTTTTTAAAGCAGGAAAATTATTTTTTTGAAAGTCTTATGAAACTAACACTTTTATTTACTACATGACACTTGGGATACAGATGATGTCATACTTATATATTTGTTTAAACAAATCAGATCTGGCTGCAGGCCTCTCCTTGCCAATACTAATGGGAAGTCCACTCATTTCACTGCCTCCTCTTGGTCTCTTATGTCTGGCAAAGGCATGAGTTATTAGTGCACAATAGTCCCTGTGGCCCTGGCTCCCTGCCATGGTTTCATGATCCATCAAGAGAAGATGGCTCCACTTTTCCATCTCTGCCACGAAGTACCGAGGTTCTGTGCTCAACACCAAGTCCTTATAAGTGCCCACGTTGCCAGGCTTTTTGAGGACCGGCTTGTCTCAGAGTGATTCGATTTTGTGTAGGGCATCTAGCATCATTATTTTATTTAAGTTCAGAGGATTGACTCTTTCAGAAGCCTTGGAGCTTCCCTCCCTAGTCATCAGGACGCACCATATCTCCATGTTTCTCCTCTTTAGTTCATTTAACTTAGTTTCATCACATGCTAGAGCTCTGAACTTTAAGTGTCTCTTTAGGAGTTATCATTAGGGAGTTCTCCTGCTTCTGGCTATTGAAGAGGTGGATGGAGGAAGCAACAGTGCAAGCTGTTTTGACTCTGCAACCTGGAATGTAGACCTAAGGATTAGGGCCCGTCACTCTTTTGAGGTGTGGGGGTAATACATTTTTTGTTCTTTCATAGGAGATTATCTAGGAGAAAAGAAAGTACCATTCTTTAATCTTTTAATAAGCAGTCTTATTACATTAAATTTTCAACAAATCACCATGTATATGTGGCCTATTGATATGGAAAATAGACAGAATTGGAGATGCTGTGATGGATATGGTTGGTGGCAAGAAGCCCTCCTCAAACCCAGCATCCCCCTAACTTTTGATGGTTCCTCAACTACCTCCAGGAGTCCTGGTGGGTAGCAGGCAGTTGTGGTATCTATAGATCTCAATTTAAAAACCATTTAAGATTGGTATTTCTGATAACGTCTTTTCATATCCACATACATTTATTATGACATTTTGACCTAAGAATGTAAACATGGCTAAAGAGGAACAGCTCCATTACCAAGCTGGCCAACTTTGGTGCCCTCTGTAACAGAACTGTGGAATATTTGAAAGAAGATTCCTATGAGGCATCCACTTTCTAAATAATGTTCTCAAAGAACAGGGAAGTCGTCTTATGAATTTTAGTTTTTCTTAACAGAAACACATCATTTCTATGATATTCTTACTTTCCATCAGGCTGAGTTTATGTAAAATAACTGAAATTGAAAGAGAACATGCTTACTATGTGCCAGGTACTTTTTCAAACACATCACATATAGTATTTATTTATTTTTAGTCACAAATACTTAAAAGTGCCAGAAATTTTTCTAAGAATTCAGTGAATATTAACTCATGCACTCTTGCACAAAACCTTCACAGAGGTACTCCTTTTATCACCTCCATTTTCCAGGTAAGAAAATTAAGGCCCAAAAGGTAAAGAGAACTGTCCAGAGTCACACAGCTAACCAGTGGCAGGCTTCAGGTTTGCACAGTGACAGTCTGGTCCCAGAGTTAAGGTTCTTTACTTCTACATCTACTACTCATGAACAATGCACCTCGTTTAATCATCCCTAGGAGGAAAGTAATATATCTCCACTTCACAGAAGATGAAACTGAGGTCCAATGCATTTAAGTATTTGCTTGAAATCATACCACTGCTAACGGGGAGAATATGAAGAATATGAATTCACTTTCAGTTATTCAGGGTCAAAAGCCTGTCTTAATAGCAGCAATTGAATCTTTAAGGGATACATTTGCCAAGGTCGCACTACTGCTGAAGGCAGAGCCTAAAAGCACACTTGGATCTGTCACCCAAGTCAGTGTTTATACTTCAAAGAATAGACAATAAATTATGAGTTTAGATGTTTTGGGAAACTGCTTAAAATATTTCCCATTTATATGTAATAAAATAATACTAATGATAGCTAGAATGTACTATGTTCTATTATTGGTATTAATGTATGTGTACTTTCTAATTTACTTAGATAATACACAGGCATCTTATGAAGATTAACCAACATATAGAAGAATATGAAGAAAGTGAAAATCATCAGAAGCCCCACAGTCTTGGGTGACCATAGTTGATACTCTGGTGAGTATTTTTACATTTACTTTCTCTATGCATTTAATGAATGTACCGTATGTGCAATCATATAATTTTAGGGAAATGGAATCTTACTATAGTTATTATTTGTAACTTGCTTTTATCCATTCATTCCTTCATTCAAAATACTTATTGAAAGCTTAACATTTATCAAATGATATGCTTGAAACAATATGTTGTGTTCATTTTTCTATTTTAATGAACAGAAATATCAATGTTTTTATGGGTAATAAGTCGCAGTAGTCAGGATAGGCAAGGTTATTCTGTAGTAACAAATTAACCCCTTTCAACTCAGTGGCTTAATGAAAAAAGAATTACTTCTTGCTTACACAGGTGGCTGTGGGTCCAGTGTTCCTAAGTGGTGACTCGCAGATCCATACCTCTTCCATCTTATGGTTCTCATCTTGCTGAGGGAATTCTAGTCACTCCAGCAGGGGAAAAGTGCTGGAACATTACACAGAGGGTTCCATGGCCTTGGTCTAAAAATAAAGCCAAAACACTTTGTTCCTGGTCCTCTGACCAGAAGTAGTCATGTGGTGCCACCTAACTTCAGGAAGCCTGGGATATATAATCTTCTGTGTGTCTCAGGGAAGGTGAAGAGAACCAGAAATTGGTAATGTCTCCCACCTAAGAATTCTTCTGTGGAATGTATCATTTATTTAGCTAATTTTCTCTGGATTCATAGTTACCATTGTTTCTGTTTTATGAACAACACTTGATGAACATCCTTCCACATGTATTAGATACTCTCACCCATTAATTTCTCAGTTTAGATTCCTGGAGAAGACATCAATAAGTCAAAAGTATATTTAAAATATTAATATAGGTTCTGGACCTAGACTGCTCATCCATGCTCTTCTCCCATGTAACATAGGGACTTAAAGCCCAGAGAGCATGTTTCCCAGACTCCTTTGGGTTAAAGTTCAGTTTCGAATCCGCTAATGAGAGGCACTCCTGTGAGATGGAGAAGGAAAAGCTGTTATTCTCTGGCAGCAACTTAGGGCTGACACGTGGGTCAACTCAACCACGAAGTTTTCCAGTCGCATCTGGGCATCCTCATGAGAACTCCACACATCAGCACTGCCATCAGTGAGGTCATCCGTGTCTCCAGGTGCTCTCTGGAGAATCACCTGTTTCAGTGTTGCAGGGAGCTGAGATATAACTGGTGACTGCCTTGTAATCCTGCACTGCTAGATTTCTTGAAAGGAGCCTTCCCAATCTACATTCCTCCAGACTCCAAGCTGCTGTGTAAGCCTCAGTGTAAATACTCCATATCATTCCTCTTCTTTCCTAGAATGGCTTCTGTTTTGATTGAACCTTGACTGATATAGCATCTATCGCCAAATTGCTGTTCAGGAAATATGTCCTAAAGAAACTCCCAACAACAGCAGTACATCAGAGTGGTACCTCTACACTGGGGCTTGGTAGGTACGGTCAATATTTTTCAACTTTGGCAAAGTAATACTCAAAACAAAAAAAATTAATAGTGGTTTATATTTGCATTTCTTGAGTTCAAAATATTTATTGTATTTTACTGGTTGCTTTTTCTTCTTTTGCAAACTGTATATTGATGTCTTTGATTATCACACCTCCTCTTTTGACTAACAAACTTTCCTAAATACTCCCCTCTTCAGTACTACTTTTATTTGGCACTACTTTGCCCCTCTTATATTCCAAGGGTAATCATTTGTTTCAGTATATTAGGTCTGGGGAAGAAAGATCGTATGCATGTGAACAAATGACTAAGTTACCAAGTGGGAGACTGCAGCCTGTTAGGGTAATTCCTTCTCTCTGCATCCAAGAGGACAAACACTTTTAAGTATGAAGAGCATGTTAAGGTGGATTATTTTGAATAAAAATCACTTTTAGGGCTTTCTTAATGGTATTTGGTTCTCATTTTCCCCTTTGGTTTCCCCTTTCACTAATGATCCTCTTTTGGTGCGAGTCTGTGACACATCATGTCCTTTAAAGAAGAAAAGAAAATTTCTGCAGAAGAAAGTGTTGGCAGGGAGTGGGTTCATGCTGTACTGCTTCTGAGACTCTGAAAGAGAGACTACCATCAGAAAGAGTTGTATTTTCCTTTTGAACCTGAGAGATGAAAAAACAGCAGCAAAAGTAAACTTTAAGCAGAAGAATTGAGGCAAAAATGTCAGATAGCTATGGTCAAATGGTCATAATTTGGCAAGAATTAAAACTGGAAGAGAAGATTAACACTTTGAGGGTGCTTTAGACCCAGGAATGGAAATGAAGACTTACAAATCTATTTGATTGGTGATGGCCCTGAGGAGTTGGCCTGAGATAGATTCTGAGACAAAGTCCACATTTCATTAGAAAGCATCCTGTGGTCACTTAATGATGGCTGCCACAGTTCGGGAAGGTGAGGGAAATAAACAGATACCACAAATTTATCGTTCTCTGATTTAGGATGTGGCTCTCAATTGGTGCTAAGAAGTGATCTTTTCTAAGATGAAATTGCATAAAGGTGAACGTTCCCTAATGTCCTAGGAAAAAGGAGGACTTCCTAATGCAGCCTGTCTCCACCCCGAATTCCTCATATCTGTTTGGCTGATGGACACTGGTTGAAGCTGGATACAAAATTGTTTTAATTTATCTGACATAGGAAATTATTAGCACTCTTTTTTCAATTCTACGTAGACCATAGCCAATATCTTATAAGTTCAGACCCACAAGATCCTAAACATAAACTCTCCTTTAAGGAGACTTACTTATTGCTGAAAGACATTGGTGAGTAATGGATGTAGGTTTCATGGTGGATACCTAATCACCAACTAATCCTTGGAGAGTTTCATTAATTCTTTTATGTCATTTCTGTGCTGCTTAATGTTTCCAGATGTTTTAATAAGGAACAAACTAGTATATTAATTCTTTTATTCATTTCACACATATTTCTAGTTCTTACTATGTGCAAAACACTGTTAATTGGGATGGCCATAGAGACATAAGACATGGTTTACATAAGTGAGAAGCTTACACTCATTGGGGGAACAAGGGTGACACAAATGAAAATCTAAACAATATAAGCAGAAAATTGTAGAAATGTAGAAAATTTGCCATTTGAGTGACAGTGATAATAAAACCTAGAGAAGTCTAGTAGAGGCTGTGTGCCTGGGAAATGCTTCACAATAGAAATAGAAATGAAGGCCAGGCATGGTGGCTGATGCCTGTATTCCCAGTACTTAAGGAGGCTGAGGTGGCTGGATTGCTTGAACTCAGGAGTTCAAGACCAGCTTGGGCAACAGAGTGAAACCCCATCTCTATAAAAAAATACAAAAATTAGCAGGGTGTGGTGGTGCCCACCTTGTAGTTCCCGCCTCTCAGAGATGAGGTCATTGCTTGAGCCTGGGGAGGCAGCCTGGGCAACAGAGTGACACCCTGAGGGGGGAAAAAAAGAGAGAGAGAGAAAGAAAGAAAACATGGATAAAAACAAACAGAATAGAGAGAAATAAGAGACAGTAAGTACATTTCTATTTGGGTTGGGTTGGAAATAGTGTGGCAATATGAAAATGAGCATGTTATGTATCTGCCCAGCTGGAGAGAAAGGTTTCTTGTTGAGAAAATAGTGGAAGAGTTGGAATTGCTCATTCGATGCCTTTGGCTGTTTTCGGATGTATCCAGGGGTACGTTAAGTCCACAGCCCTGTGGAATTTCTAAAGTCTTTGGTGCCCTAGGGCTAACTCTGGAGGTCTTGTTCCATTGGAAGCACTTCCCTAAAGTTTGTCCAACTGGCAGTTCATGCTCCAGAATTATCCCAGACCAACATTTCTCAAACTGCTCTAAAGTATGTTATTAGATATTCTGTTTTAAGAAATCAATGCTAGCCATATTTTTCTTTTTAACGTTCATTATAAATAGGTCTGAAAGAAATATTACCACTAAAGAACTTACTCATGTATCCAAACACCACCTGTTCCCCAGTAACTTATGGACATAAACATTTTTTTTAAAAAGAAATATTAAACTGTACTTATTTATTAATACTAAATTATTATATTACTATATTATAATGTTAAACTATGTGTATACATGTAGTTTTTATTTTAATGCATCAGTACATATTCCATATAAAGAATGTCAAGAAGTTACAGAAGAGACCATGTAATGCATGAAAGCATTATGTTTAATTTTGTTTATGAGTCGCATCTACCAACCTGAGAATCATATCGATGTATGTTGCCTATCAAGTCGTTGTTGGACTGTTATATATCTTGTTTTAGAATGTAAATATGTATTTGTGATAGTTAATGTTTATTGACTATTACATATTTATACTATGCAAACTTGTTCCCATGCATCTGTGACTAATAGAAGGTCTTTTAACGTAGCAATCAGAATATAAACAGTCTCAAACTGTTTTAAATTGGACCAGACAAAAGGTAGAATACTTCAGAGGAGAGATACTAATCAATGTCTTCAATTTCTTTTAAAACTAGGAACTAAACCTTTCGAATCTAATTAATCATTTTTGGGGCAATCTTATACTAGAATACCAAAATATTTTAGAACATATTATTCTTCCTTTGAAAATGTACTTGCATAGAATGAAATTTTATACTATGTATCAATTAGCAACAATTATAGGAATAAACTTGGTGCTACTCCCAATATAAAAATCTGACCTATCAGTGGTTTTCCTCATATGAAATATATATACCATCTATAGTGGGTTGAATGGTGCCCCCTTGGGAGACATGTACACCTGAAACCTGTTGAGTAGGAACATATTTTGTAAAAGAGTATCTACAGATATAATTAAGGATCTTCAGATATGACCATTAGGTGAACCCTAAATCCAATGACACATGTCCTTGTAAGAAGGGAAGACACAGACACTGAGAGAAGCCCATATGAAGACAGAGGCAGAGATTGAAGTTACATAACCCCAAACCAAGACTCTCAAGTGTTTCTAGCACCTACCAGAAGCTAGGAGATGCATGGACTGTAGTCTAAGAGCCTCTAGAGGGAAACAA